ACATATATATATATATATATCAAATAAGAGTATTAATAAATAAAAGAAAGTTGCAATTATTAAAAAATAAACGTGTCTTAAAAAAAAGTGAAAACTAAAAAACAGTATTTTATTTATCTATTATTATAAATTGTAAATTATAGATAAAGTAAATTAATAAAATAGTCAAATGAATTACAAATTAGCTTAAATGATTAGCCAAAGATGCTATACTAGTTAATTTACACAAATTCTTAATTCAAATCTTATTTATGTCCTTGTACAGAAACACACTCTTTAGTATAGTGTATATTTTGAATGAGCATTCACGAAATCGATTATAATAAATAATTTTGTAATCTCCTCTAAAAAAAAAAATAATTTTGTAATCTTAATTTTCAAGTGATATTTATGATTTATATTATGAAAACAAGTTATTCAACAAAACATAAATATTTTATCCAAAAAACTGCTAAAGTTACTTCAATTCAAAATCAATCCTGAAAACTTACCCAATTTCTAAACTTGAAATTATACATGTGAATACTTGCTAAAATCACACGTTAACTGTATTTCAACGTGATTTTAGTCAATTCAACATGAAACTAAATGTACACCTAACAGTTAAATGATTTAGTATTTCCTTTCTTATAATTAAATATATAAAATTTCACATAATTTGAACATATCCTTATTATTTGATATTACATTGAACATGTACTATATTTTAAATATATTAGACTTAAATATATTTTTAATCTTTCAAACAAGATAAATTAATTTTTAATTCCTCAAATTCAAAACTTATCTTTTTAACCCCTATAATTTTAAAAAAAAATCTTATTTTAATTTTTATATTCAAATTTTGTTACAGAATCTGTCAAATAATCACATAAAATTTACTTACTAATGTCTCTATTATTAAAAATATTACATTAAACCTAATTGATATTGCATAATTATCTCAATCTTATTTTAGTTTTTATATTCAAATTTTGTTACAGAATCTGTCAAATAATCACATAAAATTTACTTACTAATGTCCATATTATTAAAAACATTACATTAAACCTAATTGATATTGCATAACTATTTCAATCTGTTACTTTCAAATATGTTAAGGATTAAAATAAGATTTTTAAAAATTATAAGAATTAAAAAGTTTTAAATTTGAGGGAACAATCAATAAATTTATTTTACATTTAAGGGCTTAGAAAGATATTTAAGACAATATATATATATATATATATATATATATGTCAATATTATGGTACCAAAAAGGAATATTATCTGTCAAAATAAAATAGATTGAAGAAATATGAATTAACTTTTTATTTGTATAAAATAATTTAAACTTAGTGTCTTAACCTACTTCATTAAAACTTCAAAACATTTGAATTGATTAATTTCATATAAATCATCAAGCATGCAAGTATGAAGAAAGTTTGATATTTGGTGTCGATTGAAGTTGTGAACAAAATTTAATTTCTGGCTACAAAATATAGAAGGAAAAGAATATATTATAGATAGATATGAGTAAAAACTATTGCACAACTTCATAAACAAGGCACTAAACTAGAATAATCTGTATACTTCAATTACAAAAGCAGAGGCAAGCTCGGTGAATTGCGGGGACTAAGGATCTAGATCCAACAAATACTAATATTCTCATCAGACTTGGCTCAAAACAAAATCATGTACCCCCAAAAGAAGAGCTATTAAGATTATCTAGACTCAAATGGAAACAAACACTAAGGTGGTGTAATATATGCATGCCAACTAGAACAAAATAATTGAAGTATCAACTCTATATCTGTCACAGATATATTACAGAAAATGAAGTCAATCCCACATTAATGGGTGAGACTGAAGGTTAGTTGTGAACAATTTACACCTAACCTTTAGTTCTCATAATTGTGATGCTACCTTTCCCCCCTTCAGTGCGAATTTTTGTTTTACCAACCACAGGCTTCCCTGAGAAGGCTGACTTGGGGTAAGCAGATGGATCATCAATGCTTTCCTTTGCTTTCAACGGAGGCGGTGTTCGAATGCGCTGATTTATTTCCTTCAGAGTTACATCTCCATGGGCACCACTGGGTTTAATGAAGGCAAATGGATAGGCCACAGAAGAAGCCAACTTTGTAGGCGTGTGTATAAAAGATTTCCTACCTAAACATGGAAAAGAAGTCTGAATTTCTGTTCATGTCACAACTTGTCTTCAAAGAAATCTAAATTAGGTATAAGTTCCTGTTGCTTCATGATAAGGGATTGAAAACAACTTCAGTAAAATCATGCTTGCTTCTCACATCCTGTGGAAGCATCCCTATACATCATTTTTTTTTTATAAATAAACTATAATAAAAACAAGGAGACATCACCAATACTACCGGATAGGACATTAATACCATGTTGGGGCAATCAGCGTAGGCCTACCAAGAATATTACTACACAGACTCAAACCACAAGCAGTTTTTTTCCCACCAAGGGATCTCCCAGAGAAGGGTTGCCCACACACCAAGTAGGAATTTGGTGGCAAAGGGAGAATCAAGCTAGTCCATGGGGAGGATGAAAATTGTCTCCAGATCCTTGACAACTTGTGTCAACCCACATTGACCTATACATCATATAACATATTGTATGCAAGAGAAACTAAGCAGATACTAGGCACAGTTAAACCTGAAGAGAGACTAAGTCAAGAGAAAAGTCAAACCTTTGAAGATAATATTTCTGGGGGTTCGAGGGACAAGCTTTTGAACAGCATTTTGTTCATGTGATGGTGTGACGGCACTAAGCTCTACAGGAGGAAGAAAATATTTTGAATAAAACTCAAAAGATAGATGAAAGAGAAACGAATGAAGGAGAAACAAAATTAGCAGATAGTAGTGGGTGGAAAATAATGTAAAACCTGCAACATCAATTTGAACATCATCTAACCCTGAAAAATTGCTGAGCCATATAACATAGTCGTCAGATTATTTTCAATAACCAAATATTCACAAAAAATAAAAATAAAATAAAAATAAGCGTCCAGATAAGCATACAATTCCTCAGAACAAATATCCATCTCAGCATCATTAAAGTATTCTGCTAGCCACCTTTCAGTTGATTCAAGCTCCACATAACCAGAAGCAGATGCACTTCCTAATGTGTAATCTACAAAGATCGAGAGAAAAAAAATAGAAACAAGTTATAGACAGTATCCCCCAGTAAAACATAAAGAAGAATCTCGCAAAAGGTAAACCTGATGCCCCCGACATCCATTGCGACACTTCTGGAAAAATATCCTTAATTGGGTCCTCCTTCCCCTGTATATGTAATGAAGTAACAGTCATAATAAGTCAAATTCACAAGATAAGAAACAAATTAAGATTGTTGATCAAGCCAACACACAAATTGTCTTCCCATTATTTAGGGACAAATACCAATAAGCACAAAGAGGACTCATGAAAAACAGAAATCTACCCTTAAAGGATGTTTACTAGGAAGAAGATAAAAAGATTTAAGCAAGCACACCATTAACAAACTCCGATACCACATAGTGTTAACAGTCTATGCCGAGTCATCATGTGCTTTCAGTATACGTAAATGGAATAGAGCATCAGCCAAGCCTCAATGCACAGCTCAATCAGTGGAAGGTAGTAAAACAAAATGGTACAGTCATTTTTCAATTTTCATCGACGATCATTATTAGGTCTAACATCAGAAAAGATAGATCTAACATACAGAACAAGGATAAGCAACCTTAAGTCAAGGCATTGAAGACATTTCTATGTTATTGTTAGAACCATTCATCAACATGCTGAGTGTGATAAGTTAATCCAAAAATATACTAGAACCACTGACATTTTTCAAATATGACAAAGACATCTCTTCATTGGATAGAGATTCATCCCTGTCTTGGCTGTTGAACTGTAGCATCCGCCGCCTCTTGACTTGCGAATATGTCTCCCTACATTCCTCTAGTTCCTTTTGTATATTTGAATCTAAAGATCAACCATTATTTGAATTAGAAAAGGATAAATAACAATAACAACAAAGAAAACAGACAATTGATCCAAGTTGCACATATTGTTAAGACAACGGCAAGAAAGGTGCATGCCAGAGAACTGCCTTACCACCATTATTAACATTATATGCCAAATCACCACAGGCCTTAACTGGGGTTGTTTCATCATCCAACATGTAAGAAAGATCTTCTTCATTTTGAGGAACATCATTCCACAGCTCTTCTGAAATTTCTGTTCAAAACAACAATTTTTCCTCAGGTATCAGTTAGGTCTAGAAGTAACTTAAATTAAAGCAGAACTTACCAAAATCGGAAGTCTTCTGGAGACCATAATCTTCCCCTTGCCAATCCCATGGCTCCCTAGCACCACTAAGAAAGAGCAGAGAAGTAAATGCATGGTTGTGATACAACATTTACAAAGATTAACCGAAATAAAAGGTTACAACTTACAAGTGACAGGAAACACAAAAGAAGTCCATTCAAGAACCAAGTAAATGCCCATTCCACAATGCATAGGATTAACTCAGTCCACAAACAATGTTTGTACACATCATGATTAGTACCATAGACAAGGGAAGACTGACATGGTAAACTGAAGCACTTACCACCAATTACCAAACAAAAAGTTAGAAACAGAACAAGTACATAAGCAATTTTATTCCATCTATCGGTGATATTGGTCAAGAAATAACATATAAAAGCAGAAAAGAGAAGAGGGGCAAAAATGAAAAGATAAAAAAAATAAAGAAAAGAAAAAATCAACAGGAAAAAGGGGGAAAAAAAATGACCCACCATTCCATTCTCCAACCATGACCCCATAATCAAACAATCTCCAGGGCAAATCAAAACCACAAACAAGAAACAACCAGAATCATCTTCCATCACTTGATTCCATCAATCATAACAAAATGCAGCTACCAACATCAACATAAAAAATAAAAAATAAAAAAACTCCACCCAAAATTCACAAAATGAAAGAACCCCGTTTCTTTCCTATACCAAAAACTCAGGAAAAACCAAACATACGAAGTACAAACAACACAAAAGAAAAAACAAAATCAAACCCAACAGCTTGAATCACATAAATGTGCTTTCTAAACCCACAGAAAACCCATTAGCCGCACCAATCACAACCAGAATTAAAAGAAAGAGAAAATTTACCCGTCATTGTTGTTATAATCCATTCGAGCAGCACACGAAGGATGAAGCAGTGAGTGGCTGATCAGTTTATTTTATTTTATTTTTGGCACAACACAGACCACAAAAGTAACCGTTAAAGAGAGATCGGTTCTTGTGTGCCTATAAACTAAAACACGAGTGAGTCCACTCTGCTTGTGTGCTTGAGATGTGTGCTGCGCTGCATATATTTATTTATTTGTCATAAAATAAATAAATCATATATTCATTTATTTATGAGTCCACGCAAATACCAAAAGCGCCCACCCTCTTTCTCCGTTTCCTATATATCCTCGCTATCTATTGTCCACCTTTTTCTATTTTCCCGGCTTTTTTATTTTTATTTATTTAAGGCCTTTTCGGCATTAATTAAAAAGCGGAAATAAAGAAAGAAAAAGAAGAAATAGTTGGTCCAGTGCTATGGAGTCGTTAATACCTTGTTCCCGGTATAGGGTAATGTTATTGCTTTAATCACATGAACAAGTAATAAATTTATATATATATATATATATATAT